GTTATACTTTTAAGGAAAACTTGTGTTCATATAAATTCAAATTTATTCTAGAAAAATATATATATATATATATATGTTTGTTTGATCAATGATAAGAATTACATTTTAACGATAAGGAAGTATATTACAATAGCAATCTATAAGTAATGTTACATGTATGCTATTGGCGTCATGACATATAGGAAATATTGGGATTCTTAACGTTCTTAATTAATGATTGTAAACTCCTGTCATTTTAGATTATAACGTCGACATGTTGAGGCCATGATATTACGTAAACAGGTATAAAAACGTGCACGAGAGTGAGTGAGAGAGAAAGAGAATTATTACGAGATAACTTAAGTAAGATATATACATATATATATGTATATATAATACATGTGTGTGTGTTTACGCATTTGATGAATGAATTATAAATGAATAAGAAAAATATTTTCAAATAAAAATACAACAATAAAATATATTTCATAATTGTATTGTTAATTATTTCTCAAAATAATAAATAAATAAATAAATAAATAAATAAATTTGTAAAATATAAACATTAAAAATTAATAATAATATTATTAAATAGAATGAATAAAATGTATATAAAAAATGTATAGAATTAGAAAAACAAAAAAAATTGTCAACAGTAGTTCAATTGATTAGCAAAGAGATAATGGCGGCAATTTCAAAAAAAAAAAAGAGAAGCGCCCCCCCTGCTAGGAAATTGCAGAAGCTAGACGAAAACTGGCGTACGTGCCGATCAGCTTAACGTGAATGGAGTCAGGGTTCGCGCGCGCGCGCACACACTCCCTACATGACACACGTACACAACTGTATACACTAATATATACTCAAAGTTAGAAAGAGAGAGAGAGAGAGAGAAAGATAAGAGAATCGCGTGGTTTACATTATCGTTTTACAGGAAGAACAACTGTGTTTGTCCCATACATGTGCATGTGTGTGTGTATGTGTATTAGTGAACCGCTAAATGAATAAGAGAAAGATAGAAATATACTATACATATATACATATATATATATATATATAATATATATATATAGTACGTAAATCCAGTTATATATATATAGATATAAAAAGATACACTGGCTGATCTGTTTCTTTCACGTTCTCCTTTTGACGAATGATTAAAATGATGAGATAGAATGACGATGAAGTGAGACACTTACCCCATGACCTGGCATCACTCGTGATCGTGAAAATTCCTAAGACGACGAACAAGAAGGCTGTTAAGAAATCTCGTAATTTCTGGTCCATCGTTATACAGAATACATTTACTTCTAATAACCTAATAGAGAGAGAGAGAGAGATAGATGAAGAAATAGAAAATGTTAGAGAGAGATGAGAGATCAATGTCTCTTCTTCACCGCAAAAGCACGTTAACACGTTGACGACTCTCTCTCTCTTTTTTTGTTTTTTTCTTTTCTCTCTTTTATCGTAAAAATTTGAAATTTAATTTTGAAAGAAAAAGAAAACTACAAAATCTTTCTTCCTTAATTCGAACTTAATCCTTTTCTTCTTCTTCTTCTTTTTCTTCTTCTTCTTCTTCTTCTTTGATTTATAAATTCACCGGTTAAATAACAATTGCAATTGTATAATTGTATAATTCGATTAAATGATTTTCTTCATGTTTTTTTTGTTTTTGTTTTTTTTTCTCCATTCACGAATATAATTTAAGTAATTTTTATTTATGTTATAATGAAACGTTGTTATTTAAAAAAAAAAAGAAAGAAAGAAAAAAATTCTGCTTCTCTCTTTCGTTTCTCTTTTATTGAAGAGCTACGAAAGAGCCCTCTCTCACCATAACATCGAAGAAAACGTCGCGTTACGGTGTCTGAACGCGGACTGTGTTTCTCTTCGTGACTGAATGTGCGCTCTACCGACGCTTTACGTCGCCCTCCGCCGGCAGTCTCGGTCATTGGCGCTACCAAATACTGTTATACGATTTTACTCCAATACTATCACTACTCGAACTACTACTAATATAACAAAATACCGATATACTATTACAATTGGTAATAGATATTACAATAGGGACTTGTGATAATTAAACCTAACCAACAATTTTATTTTATATCCCACCCTCCCCCCACTTTCAACCCTTTTTTTTACAAATATTTCTTTCAATACTTTTTTGTTTGTTTATATTTTATCTGTCTTTTTTTTTTTTCTTTGATTTATCATCATAAATTGTGTTAATGATCGTTATTACGATTATATATGTTTGTTCTACGTCAATGCATAATGATGATGATGATGATGATGAAGAATCGCATGTTACCTCGTGGTTTGTTAAACGTTTGCCAATTTTCCTACGCTTTTTTTGCCTCATTTCAAAATTTATTTTCAATTCTAACCTCCCTTTAAAATGTGTCACGTTTTATCTCTATACCTTCTTTTCTATCTTTTTTAATAGAAAATTGGTTTATTCACTTTTGTTTATGTCAAAGTTATAATAATTATTCTATTTATTTGAAATGGATTTCAAAATGAACGTTTGAAAATTTGTAGACGCCATTTTGAAGCGGGCTCTTTTTCTCCTTTTTTTTTTTTTTTTAACTATTGCAAAAATTACTTTTGATTATAATTTTGTTTGTAATTTATAATTAGCTTAATAATTTATAAATATATTATGTGATTATGTGTTTATCGTATCATTCTAATTATGTGTGTATCATTTCTCTGGTATTTTCTCAGAAGAATCGTATTTTAATATTTATGGACATTGATAAGTTTAAAGGTTAATGTTGTGTTGTCGTAATGTCAAGTGACAAACGCAATAGTTTGAATTAATGAAGCAACAACATACAACAGATCTATCTTTGATTAGATAATTTGTAGTTTTTTTTTTCTATTCAAAAGAAATATTGGCAATTTTTCTTACTCGTTTGAACTCCTCGTGCGATATTGTTCAACGCCATCTTGGAATGTTTTTTTCCAAATACTACGTGCCCCAAATAATATAATGCGACAAATAATTATATCTTTGTAGAACTTTACTAATTATATTTTTGTATATTAAAATATAATAAAAAAAAAACAAAAAACAAAAAAATGATATTAAACATAAAATTATAATTTAATGATAACAAAATTTTCCTTTCTTTTTTTTTTCAGATTATTTTTTTAAATAAAGAAGTTCAAAAGCAAACAACTATTTGTCAAATTAATCTCAACTTTATTTTCTATTTGATTTGTTATAATTTAAATAAAAAAAAAAAAAACAATTGAATATCGTAATCTGATTAAGCGCCATCTTTTTATCCAGTCAAGGAACTAGATTTCCTAGTTGGTTATCTCATCTCTAGGAAAGTTTTAACCCTATGACGAAACGACGCGCGCATCTAGCCGGGATATTTGCACTTCTAGATGAAATAATTTTCAAAAAATCTCTTCATCAAAATTCCTTTCTTTAACCTAATTAAACATTAATTCAAAATACAAAAAAAAACCTATATTCCAATTAATTCATAAGAAAAAAAAAAAGAACCAAAAAGACATGAAATCATTCGATTAGATCAGTTCTTACGTCACGGATGGATAAATAAACAAAAACGAGTAATATAAATTCAACGTACATCAAGATGAACGAGATATAAAAATAGGAAACGGCGTCAAACGAATTACAAAATTTTAAAATTACAAAATAAAAATAAAAAAGAAATAAAAAAGAAAAAAAGCGAGAAAGATCAAGAAATAAATAAAATAAAATAAATAAAAAAAATAAACTAGTTGAAATAAAATGACAAAATATTATTTGTGTAAACGTTAAGAAATAAATCTAAAATTGTAACAAGGTACAGACACAGACAAAAGTGAGAATAATAAATAGTATTTGTAAAAACGTGCGTGTTTAAGCCTCGAAGCGACGACGGCGCGTACTAGGCAGTGTATTTTATTGATCAATAAGAGAAGCTATGGTCGTGGAGAGGAGAACCGTGCCGGTGGTAGAGAGCCAGCTGTCATTTCCTCTGCACAATTTTTCTCTAACACGCGAGTAACACACAGTCCCAAAAATAAATAGTAACACGTAACAAAAGTTAGAACAATTTTTACACGCCATTTTCAATATTTCCAACGAGATATTAATTTTACGCGATTAATATTTTCTTCCCCAACGACCTTTTGTGTGTGGGTGCACGCGTTTATGTGTGCGTGCGTGTGTGTATACATATGTGAACTAAAGTCAAGTTACAACATGAAAGGGTTGAGAGTAGATGTAACAGAACGATATTTCGAAGTGACGAAAGAGTGTCAACTGTAAAGAAGAGAAAGATAGAAAGGGATAGGTCGAAATAGAGAAGAGTGGGGTATTGGTCGGAGGGGAGGGGGAATAGAAGGAAACCGCGCCAATCTCATCCTCTTTCAATTTTTATTATTTTTGCATAGTAAGAAGACAAAAGGGGTGGGCGGTGGGATTGAAGAATAAGACAAATTAAAATAAGAAAAGAAGTTTTCTTTTGTGTGTGTGTGTGTGTGTGTAATTGTGTAAAGGGGTGGCGCGCGCGCGCGCGCGCTCACTTTGGTGCCCGTGAAAACGCGGATCGTAGAAAAGACACACAGAGGGAGCAACGTAAAAAAAAAAGGTGGAGGAGGTGGCGGCGGTGGTGGTGGAGGACGGGGGGAGGAGGGGGAGGACTAAGAGAGGGTGAGAAAGTGCAAAGGGGGCGAAAGAGAGGATAATATGAGGAGAGTAAGCGAACGGGCGTGCGTGAAGGTGAAATAGACGCGAGATTGAGATTGAGTTTGATAGATAGAGAGAGAGAGAGAGAGAGAGAGAGAGTGATAGGGTGGGTGGTAGAAAGTGTGAAAGAGAAAGAGAGAGAGAGAGATAGTGTGCGAACATGTGTCCGTGCCGAGTATCCTGTCCTGAAAAGTGACAACGGGGAAGGTGCGTCGATAAAGGATCGACGAATTTTCTTCTTATTCTTATTCTTCTTTAATTATATCACACTATCAACAATTAAATAAATTAATCATCGAAAAAGGGTTGATACGTTATCTATATATCTACTACTAATATCACCACATTGGCTTATATCAACCACCGATGCAGACCTTACGGAAGAAAAACAGCCCGTGCAAGTGTGAGTAAAAGAAAATAAATTAATCTGTCCAATGCTTAAATTGTTTTAAACTAATTGTTATTATCAATAAGAATCACTTGGATGGTCATTGTTTTTTTTTTATTAACCGTGAGAGAACGTCATTGATTATTATCCTTTATTTTTCTATTCTATTTTTTTTTTGTAGGGAGTGGGGAAAGGTAAGAACTTGGAAGGGGGTTGAAGGATATTATTTTATGCAGATGATTCATGTCATTTAGTTCGATTATTGTGACATAGTTGAGTTTTTGAAGGGTAGCATGCATGCAATACGATACTGCGGCGTTAACACCTTGTAACATCTTTCGTTAGGGGTGTCTCACGTAATATGGCTTCTTTCATTTTATATGTTAGCATTGAAGAGGGATAGAAAATGAATTTTAGAAACAGAAAGAATAAGGGAGAAAGTGTTAATTGATTATTATTATCATTTATTCATCACTTTTCACTATTACTTATACAATATCATATTATCATCATAATGATCACATTTATTTTTATTAGGTTATGATATTTTATTTATGGTTATTTCATTTATTCAATAAGATAAGAAAATTTAATTGAATTAATCGTTTGTTTCTTATTTTAATATCGTTATGTTTCGTCGTCATGAAAACGATTATGCGTGTGTGTGTGTCTTTTCATGTTACCGACCTCCCTTATTTCCTATATTCCATGTATGTTAGATTGAGTCTGACTAGTCACAGATGGCGCTACTTATTCCTTGTTGGATCAAACATGCTATATTACTACTGATTTTTTTTACTAACCAAACTAACACGATTCTAATTAATTCCTAATTTCTATATTTTTTTTTAAACATATACAATAATTTATTAAGCAAATATTGTTAAAATTTTAAATAATCTTTGATATATAACCCAAAATTAATTAAAAATGTTGACTGATTAACGTAGTTTAACGGTAATTAATTTGAATTTAATCATAAAACATTGATCGTATAAGATTGTTTCGAAAACAATCGACAAAAATCATACGATTTATGTTAGAATCATAAATATATTTAACAAATTCTTCAATAAGACTCAGAATTTCCTTTCTCAAGAGTTTTCAAATGATCGAGAACTACCCCATTCTTGGTATTTGTTTGTACGTACTCGTCCATTTGAAGTGGAAGAACGCCAACTGTCGATACTTGAAGTTTGTCGGGGAATCAATTGTATGCATTAGGTCCCTTTTCAACAACAAAAAATATGTAGAAAACTTTAATAGTACGATATTTCTTCGTATTCGTCTTTCCTTTCAATGAATCATGACAGATGCGTGAGATTTGCACTTGATCTACGTCGTCTTTTTCTCTCTCTCTCTCTCTCTCTCGACCTTTCCATAACAATTATTACAACGTTAAAGTATCATCAGTACTTTATTTGAATTTTTTTTTCGAGTACCTGTACACACACACACACACATATATATATATATTGAAGTATTTTTGAAGTTTTCGATTATAATCTGACTTATACGAGATTTAATTGCATTTCTTTTTCATTTGCTTTGTTTTTTGTTTCTTCTTCATTTAGGTTAGGTTTGAAATAAATAAATAAATAATTGTTTAATGAAGAGCAAAAAAATTACAGATAAAATTACATTGAAGTATCTTACGTAAGGGTATTTAAGTGGAGTATAAAAGAAAATCCACTTATATACCGGGTGTCTCAAGTAGGTTTTTCAAAAGTGATCGATATAGCAAGCGTTAATATCGTTTTTTATGGCTTGCATTAAAATTAGATCTAAACTCACCCGTTTCCACCCTAGACTCCCTTCACTTTGCAATCCCCAATTGCTTGAAATTTGATAATACGATTTCGATGATCGCATCCGTTCAATTTCTTTTTATACGATAGATTTGTCCTATGATAGGATGTGTAGATGAAAGTTTGATCATGCGTGTGTGAGTTGAAATTCTTCGTAGGGGGTTGTCTATCGTTTATCAATTTGATTTCATGCTTCGGTTAGCACTGCGTGTGATTTACGAAACCACCAAGTTGAAATTGATTTATCAGCACGTCCGTTCTTTTCACAATGCTAATTTTTTTATTTTTTTTTGGTTTTATTAATTTGATCTACCAATTGTTGTTCCCCTTTATCGAAAACGTTTTTTAGTTAAGAACGAGCCAACACGGTTCCTCGGGGATGGTGTTTCGTTCAAAGCGAAGCTGATTGGTATATTGGAAGTGTCCGAAGCACGTGGTGATCGTATGTGTCAAGCTGCATTGGCAGATTTAAAAATGGCGATTCGTGCTGCAGGTGAACATAAGCAAAGGATTGTTGTTCAGGTCAGCATCGATGGGCTTCGTTTGAGGGATGAAAAATCTAGCGTAAGTTAATCAAACAAACAAATTTTATTTTTAATTAATTTCTTTTTTGTTATTATGGCTTTTTTTTTTGTAGTCAACTGATTGTTTATAGTAAAACGTTTTTTTTTTTTTTTATAAATTAACTCTATAAATATATATGTTATAATTAGAATATTCTAAATTTATTTATTTTTCATGTATATTATTATACAACAATAAGTTGTTTGTTCATAATATTATTTATTTATAAATTAACCTAAATAATATCATATTTTTAAATTTACTATATTCTAGTTCTTTTTTATATAGTTAGTAAAATTATTTGATTAAAATTTTCAAACCCATCTCAACATGTTTAATAATTTTGTATTACTATTGATTGGAAAATAATTATTTTATTGTTCTTGTTGCACCAATCCCAATAATTTGTTTGTCATAATATATTATCATAATTAAAATTAATAACAAATGATTATTATGTTTCTAGGAATGTTTGTATCATCATCCAGTCCACAAGATATCATTCATCGCTCAAGATATGAGCGATTCTCGAGCATTCGGTTATATATTTGGATCACCTGACACCGGTCACAGATTTTTTGGCATCAAGACGGATAAATCAGCTAGTCAGGTATTAAAAATCGAAGATTATTCATTCTTCGATTAGATAATATCAAAAAAAGAAATAATCATTTTTTTCTTTTCTTTTTTCGTGCTACGCCAAGCCTAACCTAATAATCGCGTTACGTTGTTTAAAAAAAAATCCGGTGAGAATTTTTAATTTTGAAAAACAATTCGTGTAGCAGCAGGGGTTTCGATACGATTTCAGAGAAGGATCTATTCCAAAATGATATTTGCCCAATCCTAAAAAAAGAAAAAAAAGAAAAAGCAATATCAAAGCGCCAGTGTGTGTCGTTAATACCAGGGGCGTATGTAAATAATTGTATTATGCCATTCGTTTCTGCCTATTCTAGTCGAACCCCATCGATACACTACGGGGGATCGTTGTCGGATTATCCACGGTCCACTTTGTGTTCATTCCGAATGGGATATCTCCCCTAGCCCCTTTAGCCCCACCCCTATCCGCCCCTGGCCCCTCCCTCCAGCTATAACTTCTTGAAACTCTAATTTCATACTACCTAACTATACTATTATATTCATTCGCACGAACCTAATCGCATTTTGTACGTTTTAATCGTTCCCACGTTGCACATGCATCATCACTTGCTAAAAAGTTTGCTATCCAAATGTCAATTCAGATAAATGGAATGTTTATAAGAAAAAAAATGAATGTCTTTAGTGAACAACCAATTGTAACACTTGGAAATGATCACGTGAGA